TTTTAGTAGAGACGGGGTCTCACTCTTGCTCAGGCTGGTCTCGAACTCCTGACCTCGAGCGATCCTCCCGCCTCGGCCTCCCAGAGTGCTGGGATTACAGGCATGAGCCGTGCCCGGCCTCAGGTGCACCCTCCTTGGTGAAGCTTTTCTTCACTCTGGCCGTCCATGTGGTGCCCCCTCCCCGTGCTTCAGCCTCCTTAGCGCTGCCAGAGTTGGGGCTTGTGTGCCCTGCGCCCAAGGCTGGTGTCTTACACTTTTCCTGGACTTTGGAGCACTTGATGCTGTCTCACCCTTAGTAACCAAGGGTTGCAGACCAAATGCCGTGGACCAGGCAGGTGACACAAATCAGCAAATAGAGCAGTTGGAAGACAAATTTTCCTTGAAATCTCGTTTCCCCATTTTCGTTAGAGACTCAGTTCTTTGCTGAGTGAGAGAAAACACAGGCATGATGCCCAAGGGCAGCCGACGTGCAGCCAGGGTGTTGGGACGCAGTGGGGGTGGTGAGGATGGTGGTGTCCCGCGGAGCGCAGCCCTCTCCAAAGGGGATTCACTGCTTGAGTCCAGCACCTTCTGCGAGGTGGGAATTTAGGCCTGACGTGGATGGATGATAGATTTTTTTCAAGGAAAGCTGACAATTGAGATTTTTTTTTGCAAGATCATGTGATTCTAAAACGTTGGTGATTGATTAAAATGTTTTTCAGTCTTTGTGGCAGCCAAAACAAACCCTCCCGAAATCGATAAACCTACAAAAAGCAGTCTGCAGGCCGTAGTTGTGGAATCGTCTCAAATGCCCTTGTTAGGTTGTCAGAGCAAGAAATCTCCTTAAATCATCCAGCCCAGTGGCTTCCCAAGGCCAGCCCCGAAAGAGCTACGTGAGAATCCCCGGGAAAGTCTAGAAAAATACAGAAAATACGGATTCTGGGGCCCGTGTGCGCTGGAGGTGTGGAGTCAGAATCTCGGCTGGGTCCCGGCACCGGCAGTCTGTCCAGCGCTGCTCGCGACCAGCCAGGTCTCTTCCAGGGGGGTTGGGGGGGTCTCCTGGTGATCACGGCGCCCTGAGGCCCGTGTGGAAACACAGCTTCCGGGTCCCTAGTTCTGGTTTCCTGGAGGTGCTGATGTAGTTAGTCCGGGATGGGGCCTGGGGATTTGCTTTTAAGAAATTCTTGCCCATGAAGTCTGGGAAACCTTGCACTCGGGCCCCCCGAGGCTCAGCGATGGGGAGGACTTGTTCAGAGCCAGAGCCGGTCACCCCGCCAGCCGGCCTCCTGACTCTCGGAAAAGGCTCTTTGAGGCCTGGACCACTGGGGCAGTTGTGGGCAGACGGAGACGTCCTCAGCGCGGGGCGCCCCACGTGCAGTTTGGCGGGGGACAGACTGGAGGTGGGTTTGGCTTCTGTAGCCTGGCTAGGATGCAGCCAGCGTGGCAGGCAGCCAGCGTGGCAGGCAGCCGCCGAAGGAGCCCTGGTGGGACGTCTGCAGGGTCCCCAGGCATTCGCGTGGGCCCGGGCTCACGGTCACCGACAGCCAGGATCCCAGGAGTCGCTCTGGGTGGGACCCGGAGCTGGGAGAAACCCGGATCGGCGAGCTTCCGAACTGTGCTCCTCAGAGGCTAGGACCTGCGAGGAGGGGACAGCGGGGACAAAAGCATGGCCTCGGGGTCCCACACCACCCCCTCGTCAGCCCCACCGCTCGGATGTGTGGACACGTCCACACGAGATGTATGTTGAAGACTGGGCCTGGTGCCAAAGAAGTTTGAAAACTTGATCTAATCTAACCCCTTCACATTGACAATGGGGAAACTGAGGCCCAACAAGGAACGGACTACTGAGAACATAGAGTACTGTTACTGAAGAGATGGAAGCCATTAGAGAGACTTGGATCCCGGTCTCAGCTCTGCCACCCTCGCTGTGTGGCTTTAGGTCAGTCTGTCACCCTCTCTGAGCCTCCCTTTGCTTTCTCAGCTACGAAGCAGTCTGGAGAGCTGACTGCAGGTGTCCTACCGTGGGGTCCACAGCCTGAGGGACCATGAATTCAAGGGATCCATGAACTTGGATGGAAAAATATTACATATTTAATTTTTCTAACCTCTAAGTGAAATTTAGCATTTCCTGCGATAGTAAATATTATTAACAAAGCTCAGTAGTATTAATAGCACCTGTGATTTTGTTACCAATAGAAAAGAACAAAGAGTTTTCTATCTCATTACAGTTGTTGCAGGTATCTTGGAATAAGGTTGACGCTCACCACTACTTCAGAATTACCGTCGTTAAATTTGCCACTAGATTGTGTTTAAAGCAGTCATAAAGGACCACATAATTCCACATCCACTTTTTAAATTATTTCGATAACTGTATTTCAATATAATCAATTTCCTTGGTACTCCTACGTATTTTATTTTATGCATTTAAAAACATTATTCTGAGAACAGAGTCTGTGGCAAAAAGAGATTAAGAGTCCCAGCCTTACTGGGAAACCCAAGAGGACAGAGCAACGGGAGAGAGTTTTTCAAACTGCGAGGGCCTGAGCAGAGGTCTGCAAACGTTTTCCATCCCTGGAAGCTTTCTTCAACAGAAACCAGAGCTGCTGCACTGACGTGGTGGTGGTAGGGGCCAGGGAGGCCCGCCTGGGTGGTCTTTCTCCATCTCTCGGAGACACTTGCAGAACTCACAGGCACCTGAGAACACATTTTTAAATCCACCAGGCTAGTGACGGTCATAACTTCCTGACTGCCCCTATGTTCAGTCAGCGGGGCCAGGCACGCTGTGTGTGGAGTGGCTCAATGCATTTAATCCTCCCGACAGCCTCCAGAGTGTGAATTCTCTGATTATCCCCATTCTACAGATTGATTCAGCAAATACTGAGAAACCACTCAGTTCCAGATGGTTCTTCCGGCACTTAAATCCTCAACAAAGATTTACCCTCCTAGAGTTTACCTTCAGAGGAGAGGAAGAAAACAGACAAATAGGAGGCTCATGCCTGTAATCCCAGCCCTCTGGGAGGCCGAGGCGGGAGGATCGCTTTAGCTCAGGAATTTGAGACCAGCCTGAGCAAGAGCGAGACCCCGTCTCTACAAAAAATAGAAAAACTAGCCGGGCGTGGTGGCGCATGCCTGTAGTCCCAACTACTTGCGAGGCTGAGGCAGGAGGATCGCTTGAGCCCAGGAGTTTGAGGTTGCCATGAGCTAGGCTGACGCCACTGCCCTCTAGCCCAGGTGACAGAGAGAGACTGTCTCAAAAAAGAGAAAGGAAAAGTAATGAAACTGTTAAGTGACGCGTGTGTCAGAAGTGCTACGGGGGGAAGTAAAGCCGGGACGGGGGTAGGGAGAGCCCAGGAGCTGCAATTTTAAAGTAAAGTGGTCGGGGAGGCCTCACTGAGGGGACACTTGAGCGAGGACTGAAGTGGGTGGAAAACTGAGCGAGGCAGGTTCCAGGGACGGGGCGCAGCACCTGTGCACAGGCCCAAGCTGGAGCATATCTGGGCTGTGGAGGAACCGCGGGGAGGCCAGCGGGCCCAATGGGGGGAACCAGGAGGCGAGGTTGGAGAGGCCGTTGCCAGAACTTTGTCTCTGGCTCTGAGCGACTCGGGAGCCAGTGCAGGATTTTCAGCAGAGCGGGCCGGGGTCTGGCTGGGTCGGACAGAATTCTTCCGGCTGCTACATCGACAGTAGACCTGGGGAGGGCGGTCGAGGTGGGCGGAACCGTTAAGAAGTCACCGCGGTAATGCAGATGGAGAAACTGAGGCACGGAGAGACCAGCTGGCAGAGAGCACGGGGAGGGCCCCGGCGCGGGACCGGCAAGGACCGCCCTGTCGTGCTTCCCCCGCAGGGCGCCCGGCCGAGGCCCGCGCGGCGCTGGACGTCGTGCACCCGGTGCGCGTGGACGCGGGCGGCTCCTTCCTGTCCTACGAGCTGTGGCCGCGCGCGCTGCGCAAGCGGGACGTGTCCGCGCCCCGCGCCGCGCGCGCCTTCTACGAGCTGCGGTTCCGCGGGCGCGCGCTGCGCTTCAACCTGAGCGCCACCCCGCACCTGCTGGCGCCCGGCTTCGTGAGCGAGACGCGGCGGCGCGGCGGCCTGGGCCGGGCGCACATCCGCGCGCGCGCGCCCGCCTGCCACCTGCGCGGCGACGTGCAGGACCCCGAGCTCCAGGGCGGCCTGGCGGCCATCAGCGCCTGCGACGGCCTGGTGAGTGCGGGCGGCGGGAGGGTCCCGGCCTTGCCTCGCGCTGGGGGGCTGGGCCCGCCGGGCGGCCGCTCCTGCAGAGCGGGAGCGACTCGGGGACCTCCAGGACAGGGGTCGCCACAGTTCGGCGCGGGCCGGAATCACGCGCGGGCCTCGTCCAATCACAGCGTGCGACGGGGTGGACCCGGGATGGGGCCCAACACTTGCATTTCTGAAGACTCCCCGGGTGGTACTGGAGCCAGGTCCAGAGGGCCCACTTGGACAGCTGCTGTCCGGACCCAGTACCTCTGAAAGCAGTCGAGCCGCCTTCCGCTAGGGCGTCAGCTGTGACTGTCCCTTGCCAGACCCCGTTAGGCCCTTCTTCTGCAGGACAGGACCCCTTGACCTTTAGCCGTTCTGCAGCGGGTCGTGAGAGCCCCTCCCAGCCCCCTGCCCGGGTCAGAGCTCCGGGGAAAGCAGTCTCAGCCCCCCAGGCTGCCTGGCCCGCGGCGACGCTGGCTGCTGCTTGCGGCTGGTTGTGTGCGGGTCAGAGCAGCTCCTACCTGGCAGGACAGGCCCCTTCTGCTCCTGGTTGGGCGACCAGCCCTGCCCTCCCAGCTCTGCCGGACGGGGTGTGGGAGGAGCGGGAGGTGTGCACACCCTCTGCCGTCGGCTGTTCCCGGAGGCCCCCAGCTTCATCGCGCAGGCAGAAGCCAGGGGCTGCGGTGGGACACGGCCTAGTGACAGGGCAGCCCACACCGCAGGCTGCAGAGTGTCTGGGCTTTGCAGGCCCATCTGCCTGGCAGAGTATCCTCGTCTGCGGAGCCTGCGCAGCCGCCGCGCAGACGGGCGCCGTCCCGCCTTACAGGCGAGGACAAGCATTTGCCCAGGGTGGCCCAGTTATCCCGCGGGGGAGTCTGCGTCTAAACCAGGTCTCCAGACCGCGGCGTGGATGCAGGGAGCACTCGAGGCTTCCTGCCCTGTGCGACCCAAGGGGCAGGATTGGTGCTGGCGAGGGGAAGTCGGAGGGAGGTAACCCCTTCTTCCTCGTTGGAGCCCTGAGCTCCCTCAGGAGACGGTGGGCGCCCGAAGGCACTTCCCAAGGCCCCTCTCTTCCCTGCACTCTCTGACACCAGTGGGTGCCCGAGACATCCCTGCCAGCTTCCCTTCTCTGGCGGGCCCTAGGCCCAGGGAACAGGATGTCCTGATGGCTTTGGGCATCTCCGTGGCTTGGGTGTGGGCAGAGCTGCCTTTGGAGTGATTC